TACAATGCTAACGAATTGTTCTCTCCACAGACGGCTTAAACAATGCAAACAAGATAATAGACTTGAAAATCAGTCTTGTATATTTTGAAAAAAATTAACCTCTCATATGGGTTTATAAATGGTACAACCTAAAGTAAAAAAAAATCTGATTTTGAGATAAATTTCGGAATTTTGGCTTTCAGTCTTGAAAGTTAGATTTATTTACTCTTACTTACTAGAAGAAATACAGTCAAATTCTTAAGTTTATTTTCGTTTCATTCGGTATCGATTATCGTGGAATGAGAAGTATACATTTTTGATCGTTGTCGTGTCAAATGAAAGCTTTTGCCCCTTTCTGATTGGCTTAAGCAGAGAGCTTTTTGACACCGAATGGCAATGCCTCTAGTTAGTTTACTATACAAACCAATATAGCCTATTATATGTATGTACCAGGGTTGTTGCGAATATTCGCATTCGCATTCGCAACCGCAAAGCGTAACAAACATCGTCGCTGAAATACAAAAAGTCGTAACTAATAACTAATAACAAATTCAAAATTCAGTTTTTGATTCATATGACGGATTTCATCGAATTTCAACTCCCACATCAGTTATGGTGTTGTTACATATTTTTGCATTTCAGGTGACGATATATTCGTTTCAATCACATCAAATGTGGCTCTTTGGGGAATTAATTTTAAGGACAAATTTTAAAAGCAGTAATTTTGTTTACTTGTCGGGCAATATTTTTTCATAGATAAATATGTATATTCGAGCCTTGCCTAAAGGCCTCTGTGGTAAAACTCTCCCCCTACGTCTCCCTTCTTTGCTAAGTGACAGATTAAGCTCCTACAATAGGGAATCGATGCTGAAATATTTAAAAAGCTATAGGTCCGACTTTTAATTAGGTAAGAATTACGTAACTATCTGAAACCCTCATCATTCGTGATTCCAATAATTCAAATGATTATAAAAAACGGGGTGCTTGTTTTTAAAAAAAATAACATTATTCTCATCTGATTCGGCTGGCAGCCAGGATCTTAAAAACAGAATTTTGTTCAAAATTATCATTTCTGGAAAATAACAATTTAATTTCCATATCCAGCTATCTAGCTCGCTATAAGCACAAATTCTTCAAACCAGTCGACCCATTAAAATGAATTACAAAAACTAAAATCGAGAAAGGCTGATGACGTTACAAGTTCCCCAAATTCTGAAACTGCTAAAGGAATGAGAATGAAGATTTCTTTTAAAAAGCTTCAGAAAAACCTGACATATCTGGTTTGGTTTGTAAGCGCTGTTTAAACAACGATCTCACCATTATGCTAGATTCTTCAAGTGAACATGAAAGTCAGGAGGATACATCCGACATTTGCAGCCCCGATGGAATTCTCATTACTTTTTATTAAATAAAATTTTCAATTTTTAAATTCAAGAACTAAGTAAAATAAACATTATTAAAAATTACTAATTTTTAAATTTTTTTATCTACCTAAATAACTTAGTTTACTTACCTGGTTATTTCTTAAAAATACTTGACATTCGCATTCGCATCCGCGGATGTCTAAAATTTCACTATTGCAATATCTCTAGGATGTACCTATTAAAAGTATTTTATAATTATTCGAGTGTGGTATACTTAATATAAGTTATTAAATTACAATTATAAAAATACATGCGTAAAAATTTTGATATTGAATCTTAATTATGTATGTATGTATGAATATTCGTGAAATAAATAACGAAAATCATTTTGTTTTGCAATCGCTGCTTACAAAATAAAATATTACATCATATTGGTTCAAAAGATTTTAAAAATCTTTCTTTATTAAAGGTAGTTTGTAGGTTGCTATCGAAGGCGAATTTCGATAGAAGAAGCAGTTTGGCTTTCGTTTACGCATTACAGAGTGACTAAAATGCGAAAGGGGTAAAAATGAATGCAAAAAGGGCAATTTTCAATGCGCTTGTCGCATTGTAGGGTGCCAATATTCCGAATTTTCGCAAGTTTGCTATCGCATCGGATTACAGAGTAACCGCCCTGATCATAAGTGGACGGTGCCAGGCCCATTTTCAAAAATTTTATCATAATCGTATTTTATGCCAAAGAATTATTGCAAACATCAATTTTGAATAAATTAGCTTCGGTATTTACTGATTTATCGAAGATTTCTTATTTCTCCAAAATACCGTTAAATGGGATACGGGCGTGGTTATTGTCCGATTTTAAAATTTTCAGTAATTGGGTATGTTGTACCAAGACCAACAACCGTGTCAAGTTTGGGAGAAATTGGTGGAGCGGTTCCCAAGATATACACGTGTAATCATAAGCGGGAATGGCTACGCCCATTTTCCAAAAATTTACAATATTCTTATTTTTCACCTAAAATTGATTGTGTGTAAATATCAATTTTGAGTGAATTAACTTCAGTAGTTTCTAAAATATCGAAGTTTTCGTATTTCTCAAAACTACCATTATATGGGAGGCAGGCATAACCACGCCCGATTTTGCCCATTTTCAATACCATCCGTCCTACGCCGAAAAGAAGTAAACATACCAAGTTTCGTTAAGATATCTCAATTTTTACTCGGTTATTGCCCGATTTTGACCATTTTTAGTACCATCCGTCCTACGCCGAAGAGAAGTACACATACGTAGTTTCGTTAAGATATCTCAATTTTTACTCGAGTTATCGTGTACACAGACGGACGATTCGTTTTGCCTGTTACAAACAACCGTTATGTGAACAAAGTTATAATATCCTTGTGCACAAGTGCACTCGGGTATAACTAGATTTATGCGTACAAATACGGTTGCGAAATAATCTGGTTAAGTGTGCACATCAGTTCGGACGGCCAAAATTGTTCGGCCGAAATTGGTCGGCCTCTCGGATGCAATGTGCGCCTAGCGTTATACGTTGTAACAAAAATTGAAAATATGAAAAAGCTTTATATTGCATTTTCAAATCTGGAGACAAAAGTCTCATCTCCAACTATCGAGCTATTGTAAAGCAGGGGGTCTTTCCTAAAATTTTCGATCACATACTTAACAAAAAGTTACTCGAACATGTTCAGCATGCCCTAACCAGCTGCCAACATGGGTTTTTGCCAGGGAAATCAATAGTAACTAATCTGTCTCTTATTTCAAATCACATTATCACTGCAATGGAACAACATTCGCAGCTCGATGTCATATAC